TGCCTCAGTTTCCTTTACTGCAAAGAATTGTCCAAGAAATTAAAATTTGGGACACTGCAGACACTTGACAAATAAAATACAATCGTTAAGAATCACCAGCTGGGTCAGCTTCAAACACATAATAGGCTCTTTATTTAATGAACCTGATAGAGTGAAAATGCAAGCAGTTCTCAGATGCTTCTGTCTAATGCTGACAAACTCCACATCTTTACTCATGTCTCTCACTGATCACTCACTGATGGGTAGATGAGTTTGTCTAACCTCTGAACTCACAGATCTTATTAACTTAATGGTTTGCTTATGAAACAGAGCTGAGATGTTCATCATTTAGCAGTAGCCATTTCAACATTTTCCTGGTAACTACTAAGTAAAATGTTGTGCCAAAGATTATTTAAGTACTCATTTTAGGTGCTTAATATCTAATGTAAAAGTTAAGGGAAAAAATTGCTGGTAGGCAAGAACGCAGTTGCTACTGCCTTTTAGCCAAAATTATGAGAATATATTGGGCCTAGTTTGCCTACCTTTATACCTTTTAAAGTAGATAAATGTAGGCCATAATTGAGTATTTTAAGAAGTGAAATGACTTCCATACCATTTCCTTACCTTCCCTTACCGTTTCTATTTTTTTAATTTTTTTTGACCATGCTGCACAGCTTGTGGGGTCTTAGTTCCCCAACCAAGGATTGAACTTGGGCCCTCCTTAGTGAAAGCATGAAGTCCTAACTGCTGGACTGCCTGGAAATTCCCTGCTTTACCATTTGTAATATACTTTTTATGTTTTAGAAAAGACAATCTTTTTATATTAGAGAAGAAAATTTGTAATGTGAATTTAGCAAGAATTTTTTGAGAACCTGAGCACTGAGCTAAACACTGTGAAGAATACAGAAAAAGCAAAGTATAGGTCTTGCTTTACATATTTAACAGGAAATTTGCCTTTAAGAAACTCATGTGGATCAGCAAAGAATAAAGGAAAATATCTTTAATACTTTTGAATTGTATAGTACAGATTAAAATTGGCTATCACTGTTCAGAGAAAGGGAAATCCATGAAGACTTGTATAGCAGGGGTTGGAACTTAGCTTGAGCTTTAAAGACTGCACTGGAATTAAACCAGGGAGAGGAAGCAAAACCAGGAAGAGGATGCTGAAGCTGAAACGCCAATATTTTGGCCACCTGATGCATAGAACTGACTCATTTGAAAAGACCCTGATGCTGGGAAAGATTGAAGGTGGACGGAGAAGGGGACGACAGAGGATGAGATAGTTGGATGGCATCACTGATGCAAAGGACATGAGTTTGAGTATGCTCCAAAAGTTGGTGATGGACAGGGAAGCCTGGCAGGCTACGGTCCATGGTCGCAAAGAGTTGGACACGACTGAGAGACTGAACTGAACTAAATGGAGGAAGCAAGAGAAACCTCCTAAGCAAAGAAAAGAGCCAAAGTGACAGTGGCAGTGGAAAGGAAGTAGATGTTATGAGAATGATTTCAAAGGAACAAATAACAGTATTTGGGACCACTTGGATATAAGCAGGGTGCAAAAAGTAGGAGATAAAAGGTACAAAAATGATACCAGGATCTAGGTTAAAGAGAATCAATGCACCATTGAAAGAGATGAAGAATTTGAAAGGAAGGAGCCCGTTTCAAATAAAAGGTAACATTTAATTTTAGATGTGTTCACATGAGGTATAAAGATATCCAAATGGAAATTTTTATTTTTGTTGTTGTTTTAATTTATTGTATTGAAGTATGGTTATCTACAATGCTGTGTTAATTTCTGCTGTACAGTACAGTGATTCATTTACATATGTATGTATTCTTTTTCATATTCTTTTCCACTGTGGTTTATCACAGGATATTGAATATAGTCCCCTGTGCTATATATTAAGATCTTGTTAATCCATTCTATATGTTAGTTTATGTCTGCTAACCCCAAACTCCTACTCCATCTGTCCCTCACTCCCCTCCCCCTTGGCAGCCATAAGTCTGTTCTCTATGTCTGTGTGTCTGCTTCATAAATAAGTTCATTTGTGTCATATTTAGATTCCACATATAAGTGGTATCATATGGTATTTATCTTTCTCTTTCTGACTTGTTTCACTTAGTACATAATCTTTAAGTTCATCTATCTTGTTGCAAAAGGCATTATTTCTGAATGGAAATTTTTAGTATGCAATTAGAGGTGAGGGTCCAGAGCATGTTGGGAAATATAGAATTAGAGATATAGACTTGATGGTCATCAGAATAGAAGTGATTTTCAAAGTTATTAAAATAGATGAACTGTTATAATTCCTTTAGAAAGAGAAGCAGATAGCTAAGAGCTAAATTTTGGGAAAAGATAAGTGTTAGGAGTGAACAAATGGGAGAGTGTTGAGAAGGGAGTGGTAAACAGCATCACAGACTGCAAAGTCAGGAGGGGAAGTCTGAAAAGAGGGTATTGAATTTAGCAATAAATAAGATGAACTTGTCTTTCTAAATAAATTTGCCAAATAAGGAATTATTTTCAGTAAAATAACAATATCAAAAGACAAACTTCAAAAGATTAAGAAAGGATGGGATATTAAGGAAATGGAAACAGAGGCAAAAAGTTTATTTGTCTGATGATAAATGCAAAGAGAGAATAGCAAAGCTAAGTTCTTTTAATAATAGAAATATTCCATACATTTTGAGGAACACATGTCTATATCCTCTATGTATTTGGTATGTGATAAAATAATGGCAACTGGGAAAAATCTATAATGGCAGCAATCTCTAATAGGGGTAGGAACAAATTATAAACATTGCTTCTAAAAGACAAGAGGGAAAAGGACTCCACACTTCCATTGCAGGGGTTATGGGTCTGATCCCCTGTCAAACTAAGATCCAGGTGGCATGGTCATAAATAAATAGATAAGTAAAATTGGATTTAAAAAATAAAAGACAAGATATAAGAATAGAAATAGAACTCTACTTTCAAATGTATCATGTTTATTTTCATGAAAACTATATCTGTTTCTTTGTTATGCAATAAGAACTCTGTGGAATCATGAATTGAATTACATCTTCCTTACTAGTGATAAAGCCACTGTTTATCTAAATATTTAAATGAAATATTTCTTGCTCTGTTAAATATTTGCTGTTTACTGATCACTTAGTACACAATTGCAAATATATAAATAATACTAGAGTATTAATTTCTCAAACAGCACATGAAATTTGCCATAAAAATTCATGTACAAGAGTACCATTTTATTTTTAAGTTTGACTGTACTCCTCTACATAAAGACTTAAAGAAAATGTTATTATGGGGATGTTATTATGAAAATATTATGTTTTCATTACATGTACTGACACCTAGAGAAGTAATGACATTTTTAATGAAGTTATGGTCTTTTTGCAACTGCTAATTAATTTTCTCAACTCTTTTCAAAACTAGAAGTTTTTGTTTTAAAATGCATTTTAAACGTATAAAGTAAAATTTATTTATGCATGGGTGTGTACCTTGCTGCTAGCTACTAAGTATAGAGTCTTTGTGTTTAAAACTAGCTTGGGTCCTTGTAAAGGAGCTATTAGCATAAATAATGCAAGGAGACTATGATATTCTCACAGAGTTTTAATAGGACATTGGATTCTTAAGATGTCTATAAAATGACCCTAAGACCGAAATGCCATACATCAGTAGAATCAAACAGTACACAGAGTAGCTCATTGTTCAACAAACTTTTATTAAGCACTTAGATTCCATTGTGCTGCTAAGCATAATGGAAGATAGCAAAGTAAATAAGTCATAGTTTTTGTTCTCCAGGAGCTTAATATAGGACAGAAAGAATTTAAGGATTAGCATTTGAATTTGGTTGTCCTTGCTTCCCTGGTGGCTCAGAGGGTCAAGAATCTGCCTGCAATATGGGAGACCTGGGTTCCATACCTAGGTTGGGAAGATCCCCTGGAGGAGGGCATGGCAACCCACTCCAGTATTCTTGCCTGGACAATCCCCATGAACAGAAGAGCCTGGTGGGCTACAGTCCACAGGGTCTCAAAGAGTTGGACACAACTGAGCGACTAAGCACAAGAGAATACAAAAAAATAGATAAACACAATCTCTTACTATGACTGGGCATCATTTAATTAATTCATTTTTGAAATAAAAATTTTCTGTCAGATTCCTTCTGTGTAAAATAGAGATAACAATACCTTTTTTGCAGGGTTGTAAAGTTTAGAGGTAATATATTTACCTATAACAGTGTCTAACTCATGGTAAATAGATAGTTACTGGTAACTGTTACTGTTATTGTCTACCTCACAATGAGTTCTTATTAACTGTTGAATGTTTTTTTCCTTTTGCTTATACTAACATAAATTGTAGTCACTCTGATATATCATCTAACATGCAGGAAATGACTTTTGTTGTTCCTACTGAAATCAACAAGGAGGTGAAGGAAGGCCTATAAAAATCATCTTGACATAGTACAGATTTCAGTGAGTGTGGTGGAAGAAAGTCAGAGCTCTTGAGGCTGGTATCTGTTTTCTTAAAATTGGTTGCATGTACATAAAAGCCATTCATAATGATCAACCTTTGAGTATCTGAATAGCTCTACAGTTCCAAAAGTTACATTAATTTTTATTAGGAACATTTTTATATATCTACAGAAGTAGAAAAAAAAATAGTACAATCCACTCCCACATACAACCCATCAGTTCTAACAGTTATCAACTAAAATGGGTTTTAACAGAAATATTTCAATCAAAAATTATAATATTTCCAGCTCTATATCAGTGTTTCTGTATTATTTTTTAATCTTATATCATGGCTCTCATTGGAATCCTACATTAACTTTGGCTCCTTAAGTTCCTTTTACTTTTAATTTGGATTAATAGTCAAACACTTATTTTCTATAAACATCAAATTATTTTTAGGACATGCTTTTAGGTCACAAAATCAAAGGAAAAATGCATGGCTTTGTAACTTTTTTAAGGAAAAGAGTTAAATACGTTGGGTAGAATGTATTTTGTTCTTTGTTTTTAAGGTTTGGCTTGAGCAACAAGTTTGATACTGAATTTCCCTCAGTTCTAACAGGGAAGGTAAGTGAGAGTTTGCATTGAACTTTTCAATTCTAAAATTATTGGTTTTTGGCTGAATTAGTGTTATGACAGGTGCTTTGATGCACTGTAATGAAGTCTAATAGTAAGAGGCCAGGATAATTTTAGGCTGTATCATTAGTGACTAAAAACTGTCTCCGTGACTAGCCAGTTATTTTGTTCATTGTCCAATAATGCCAGCTATCATTTACTTATCTATTCAGTTTTTCCAGTTTTGCCTTTTTTTCTCAGCACTGGTAGCTATAATTGTTTTAATTTAGGTCAGTAATTTCCAATGATTTTAAAGTTAACAAAATTATTGTTCAACTTTGTATCATTCTGTGAATTTTAAAGTATCCTGAGATATGATTTGTTATACCAGTACATTAAAAAAATCAAAATTTTCTGCCTTTTAGACAGTTGAGTTTCTATAATTAGACTCACTGCAATAAATTGTTACCACCTTTTTGTTTCCTGGTTCCTATACACTCAGTAGTATCTTCTAGCATTGAGGTTCAATCTTCAGAGACCTTCTAGGGTTCAAAAGTGTTTGGAAAATCCTCTTATAACAGTAATGCTAACTTCTAAGCCCAAAGGAAAAGGCTCTGATAAGACAAAAGAGAATATATAAAATGCCTAGTGTATTGCCAGGTACTTATTAGTTTCACAGTGTAAGTTTGTGATTGTTACTGACAGTTCTTCTTGAGTATATCCTAGTTTCACCCTGATTGTTTTTCCAGTTTTCTCTACTCACCATCTTTCCATTTTAATTGCTTTTGCTACTTTAACCTTGTTCTTCTGGGTAATTGTTTGTTCTCAGACCCACCAATAATTTGTTCTCTCTGCTGATGTATAATGTCAAATCATTCCATACAGTAATAAACAAGTAGTGATAGTCCCTGGCTAAGTGAACATTAGAAAATATGTGGCCATTTATCTTTTTAGGTTACAGAGAGCCCTTTGGTTTGAGATTTTGGCCTCATTTTCTAGTATGTTCTCCCTTCCTGTCCTGATCATATAGAATAATTCACCAATTTAAGCAGCAGTTCAGATTTAGATTTGTTTTAGATAAATTTTTTCCAAGGAAAAATAGCTATGGGAAAAAATCTCTTGAATAATAATTTGTTTGTAGAAGGATGGCAAATTCAATATTAAAATTAAAGACAATGTGAATAAAGATATCTCCAATGGAAAACTTGTTCTTTATATTTCCCTTATTGCTGTCAAATATGTTGTCTGGGCAGTTGCATCCAGTTTTACTATTGGTTTAGTTAGAAAGAGTTTGAATTACAATTCCAAGTAATTCTAAAAACTGAATAATCAAAAAAGTCAGAGAATAGAGTTTCCAGGTATAAGACTTATCCATCTTTCCATCTTTGAAATTGGCCAGTTTTATGTATTCAAGGAATCTTCAGAATATTTCTTCACCTTTCCAAGTCTTTTAAAAACTGAAATTCCACCAGCACAAAGAATAGTACAGTTCTTTAAACTAGGGAAGTAGGAATGTTGGACTTCCCTGGTGGCTCATCGATAAAGAATCTGTCTGCAATGTGGGAGACCTGGATTCAATCCCTGGGTCTGGAAGATACCCTAGAGGAGGGCATGGCAACCCACTGTAGTGCTCTTGCCTAGCAAATCCCATGGACAGAGGAGCCTAGCAAGCTGAAGTCCATAGGGTCGCACAGAGTCAGACAACTAAGCAGCAGCAGCAAGAATATTAAGCTGGATATGAGCTGTTCTTAAAGACATCCATTCTTTTCAGGTGACCATTTTTGTAACATAATGACTGGATATTTATTCTAGTGTACATTATTTAAATGCACAAAATTTCTCATATGTTGAATGAGGCATAAATGATACAGTGATCCTAGTTTAGTGTTTGATGATGGAAAACACTAAAGGAATTCTGAAAGTCTGATTTTGAAAAGTCATATGGTGGCTTTGTTTTCTCTTTATTTTCTCTTTCATGAGATTATTTTTCTCCAGTAGGCACTATTTCAGGTGTAAAGGTTATTTTGGATTGTCAAAATGCATCTCTGATAACTATGAAGAAGAAGCAGAAAAAATAATTTACATGTTTCAGAAAAAAGCTAAAGAAAAAAAGTTTGAATTCCAGACTGAGCAGCAGTGTAAATATATTTCACAATGAATAAATGCATAGCTAAAATAGAAAATTAAATCTGCATTTTATAAAACCAGTATTCTAGCATGAATGGAATTCTTAAATAGCTTTTATGCCTAAAGTAAGCAAAATTGCAGGGTGAATTCCAAAAATCTCAAAAGCCATTTTGTTAAGCTCTATGGCTTAGTATTAATTTTGTGCTTCTTATGTGTTAGTGCTTTTAATATAAATAAAAAGATAATCTTTTACATTAAATTAAGCAAAGATTGTTTCCATCTTTCACTAAAGATAAGTCCTGTCATGATAGGATGTATGGAACAGATGTATACATACAAATTTTGGTGACCAGAAAATGAAAGAACCACAGAATTTCAGAAAAGAAATAAAAGCTTCTGGCCCTCAGCTTGAAACAGTTAAATGGTGTTACAAGGAAATTAGCGTGCAGTGTTGGGAATTGTAAAACATAAAATTACTATTGTGATCCAGTATGACAAGTGATTGATGGGGTTGTGTTCCCCATGACTGAAGGAGGCAAATCAGTCCTGCTGGGTTTTGCTTAGATTTTCTTCTGTTTGCAAAGTCTCTTGCATCCTGTTATAAAATATTATGACCCTTTCCCCGACTTTCATGATGTGACTTTCTTTTTTCTAAGAAAGTCAAGAGGAATTAAATGTTTCTTTACAACCTGCCATTCAGCTACAAAGTAAAAGGCTTCCATCTAGCCTTCATTACTAGTGATACTCAAATTATATGGAAGTAAATGAGTAAAATGTTATTAACTCTGATTCCACACAGTTAACTAAACATTTCTTTCACATTGTTTAAAATTGGGAGTTAACCAGTTCTCATTTCCTATGCCTTTATTTCTGTTTTATGACTTTTACTGTTATTCAAATACAGATTTTTTTTTTCAAAGACAATTCTGGCTTCCTTTTAAAGTCAAAATGCAGATTTTAGTTTATTGTGTGAAATTCTAGTAAAAGTTTTATTTTCAGTATGTTTCTGTTATGACTTCAAAAAATTTGAATTGTCATTTTTAGAAACTTGAATGTTTTAATTTGTCCATAGTGAAAGAGTACAAGCTATGAATATTATGTATTAAATGTGGAAAATATTGGTGGGGAAGAAGGAAACTTTTCACATTTTAGAAATGGTTTTATTAATTCATTTCCAGAAGCATCTAATGAAAGATAAATCTTATAACAAATTTTACATACCTTGGCATGCAATTTATTTCATTCACAGTGTTTTAAACAAAAATCAAGTTTTACTTTTTGGATTGATTCTTTTCTGGCTTTTAGCCTCATTCTTTACTTTTTTTCATCTGTGCTTACACACTTTTAAATACAAGTTATATATAGAAATTTTACTTTTTAAACAAAATTTAAATTCTAATTATAGGTATTTAAGTTTGTAAATAGACAGATTTAATATGAGTATATCAAAATTTGCCATATTTTAAAGATGTCTTAGTGTTTCTAGATACACAATTTAAAGAAAATTGATAATGTTATATTACAGATTAGAGCTAAATATATAAGTACATTTTCCTTTAACTTCCATTTGGTTGCTCACAGGTTCACTAGGAAAAAAGAAGCTGAATATCATTGTTTAAGAGGTAAATGAAGATAGCAGCTTAGTACCTAGATTTTAAAAAAGAACATTTTTTTCTCTAAAGAATTGAAAACCATTAAATTTGCATTCAAAATGTAGCAGATTATCCTTTTGTGTAGAATAGAATGTGTAGGAAACCTGTGGAGTTTAACACTGTTAAGTTATCTGATCCAAACCCTCAGTTGGTACTCCATGCAAAAAAAAAGTCTTGCTTTTTTTCTCCAAATCTAATTAGAGATATGATTCACTGACTTCCTTTTTCAAAGCATTCTAGTTAGGAGGTTATTTCTAAGGTATAATTTCCATTCCCCATGAGGTATATAATAGAAAAATTATTTTTCTCATTTTACAGATGGGAGACTAAAGCTCACAAAAATTAAATGAACTTACCTAGAATTTTTTATAACTAATAAGAAACTAGAATCTAGATCTTGATTTATTGTCTTAATGTGCTTAGCCTGTTGGTGTTTTCTGTTTCCAGTTGTCAGCCATAGTTCCCTGAATTTATTTTCATATTTTACTCTAGAAATTTAGTTATTTATTTGGAATTCTTTTTACTCGGCGATTGTCTTTAGGTCATATTGGAGAATGAAATAAATTTATTTTCCTTTTGTAAATACAATTTTGAGCCTTACAATTTCACAACTTGTTAACATATTAGGAAAAAAAGGAAAATTTACAGGTTAAGCAAGTAACATTATTAGGTAGCATGAACAATTCTAATAAAGCTAATATAATTACTTAATGTTTTAATCATGATAGTACTGAATTCTGTGGTCATGTATCTTTCTAACGTCCATTAATCAATATGTATTATAATACTGAGTCTAAGATTTGTTATTATTATTAAAAGACAAAAATGTAATAATTTGATTCCTGTAGAACAGTTTTTACTTAGAAGAGTTGTGGAGCTCTATATTTTTGATGCCAAACATGCTAATGGGTTTTTTATTTTACAGCAACTTATTTTTTCTAACAATTTCGTAATTTTTGCCTGCATAGCCAGATGGTGGAATTTTTTCTTATAGATTTTACAGTGTGACAGTTTTCTAAATGAAGGAATCATTTTTGTGATCTAGAAATGTGATTTCACTGAAAGCAGAGTATTTTTAGTATACCTTTGAATTGTATAACCTTCAAGCAGAATTTTGGGTATAAATCTAATTATGCTTGTCATGATCGTGCCTTTGAACTGACTTTGTCATTGTTTACAGAGAACCATAAGCATCCACTTCCAGGAATGGAGGTAGTAATTAAAAATATTAAATTTGTATATTTAAGGATCTCTCAACTTCTAAAAATTTACAGCAGTTTGAATCCATTTTATGCTAATACTGAGCGTTTTTTGAATGTCATCATTTCTCACTGTCTCTTGTTAATGTACCTTTTGCCTACAAACAATGGCAAGTGTTTAAGTTGTTATGTTGCAAATTTACCAGGGAGAAAAGATTTGAGAGTTGCCTTTTTAAAAGTAATCCAGGAATATTGCCGAGGTCTAAATTTAATTCTATTTCCTCTAGTAGTATTTAGGTTTTATTGTTATATTATGCTTCTAGTCTTATTCAACCTTTAGTCAGAGTGACTGGAGACTATAAATAATATTGCCTTAATAATGAGAATAACTGGTAAGAAAACTGTGTGACGGTATCCTTTACTACGAACTTTACTGTTGTCATTTTATTATTGGTAATTTCAGAAGATTGTTTTCAAACATCAGAATAAGTTCTGTAAACATGAAATTATATTGTTTAGCTTTCTAATGTCATCCAAGAGCATGTAATACCTATTTATAGGGAAAGATAGGAAATAAATATGTGTAATTCCTTAAAGTGTTTGTAATAAGACAAACATTTTATTTAGGTTTATAGATAAATAGTAGAAAGCTGCCCTCAAAGTGTTAAAGATTGTGCCCTTGTTGTAGGTGGCCCCAGAAGAATTTAAGACCAGCATTGGCCGTGTGAATGCATGTTTGAAAAAGGCTCTCCCAGTCAATGTGAAATGGTTGCTCTGTGGTTGTCTCTGCTGCTGTTGCACATTGGGTTGCAGCCTGTGGCCCGTTATTTGTCTCAACAAAAGAGTGAGTAACCATTTTATTGTGTAATAATAATGAGTTAACATTTATTGAACACTTGCTGTGTGCCAAGTACTTTACAGGGTTTAATTCTACTAGCAATGCTGTCCTCATTCTAGATATAAAGAAACTCAGGGCCAGTGATATTAAGCCATTTGTCCAACCTTTATCAACATTTTATTACTTAATATGTGTTCCAGTCATTATTTTAAATTAGTACAAAGTAAGTGGAGTACTTGCCGGAGAAGGCAATGGCAACCCACTCCAGTACTCTTGACTGGAAAATCCCATGGACGGAGAAACCTGGTAGGCTGCAGTCCATGGGGTCACTAGGAGCCAGACACGACTGAGTGACTTCACTTTCATGCATTGGAGAAGGAAATGGCAACCCACTCCAGTGTTCTTGCCTGGAGAATCCCAGGGACAGCGGAGTCTGGTGGGCTGCCGTCTATGGGGTCGCACAGAGTCAGACACGACTGAAGCGACTTAGCAGCAGCAGCAGCAAGTAGAGTACTTAAGTAAATGTAACTTGGCTACTTATTCTTTTTACAAAACCTGAAGTTATGATTTAAAGTATTTCCAAGTTACAAGTGTATGGGAGAGTTTTTTGTTGATCTGCAGAAGTGTAAGTAATCTACAAAGTTGGTGGGGGAAAACTTCGTTAGTTTTGAACATGTTGAAACAACGTTCTGGCATGACATTACTCGTTATGTCATAGATTTAAGACTACTATCTTAATCTCATTTTCTTTAAAATTTTATTTTGATCTTCAGAATGATATTTTCCCCACTGGGAGGATATCTTTAAACTTTTTAATTCAAGTCAATGAGGAAAATTAATTCATTTACCTCCAATTCTTTTCCTTGAACAACATGGATGATTCACTTAAACTTCTAAATAATAACCATATTCAAATTCACAGCACCTGGATGGGGTATAATTAATGGTACAGTTGTTTCATAAAAACCAGAAAGATTCCCACCAAGTACTCATTATATTTTCCTCTCCATCTTTCTCTTGCCCTTCTTAATGTCTGCTTCAAAAAATAAAATACTGCCACCCCTATCATTTTTTGAATAGAAAATTGGACATTTTATTAATCCTTTGGTCACTCCCAGTAAGTCAGAGCTTTATTTTAAATAGAGCTTAGTTTATTGTTTGTCAAAGCATGAACAGTGTTCTCAAATGGCTTTCTATAAGTTAAATCAATTATGGGATTTTTTTTCATCACACAGGTACAGCCAAATTCAGTTACTTTAAGAACAGATTTTTTTATTTTAATATTATCCAGGATCTTTTTTTCTGATGGCCTGTTTACATAGTTGCCTGTTTATTAACACTACCACAAGGCCTGAAATAGAAGCAGTTTATTCAGTCATGTGATTTTACTATGAGCACTACTGATTTGACATTAACACTAATGCTATGATTTCTCCCTACCCCCACTATGGTTAATTAAGTATTCATATTGAAATTAAGGTATCAGTATATTCTTAGATCACTGATCTGTCAATTTTTAAAAGTCTATTAAGTACAGATATGCAGACTGTTGTCCTGTGGGCTAAATCCAGCCCACTCTATTCTTTAAACATTTAAATCAATTGTTAGCATTTAAAAATTAGAATATTAAAATAAAATTTGAAATAGCCAGTGTCTCTTGTAAAATCTAAAAATCTGGCAATATGGGACTCACATGTCTACATTTCAGCAATTGGCCCTTGCTGAGTGGTGGCTGCTTCCTTTAAATAGGACATGTGGTCTCTGATTCACCACAGAACTACCCAGCATTTACATTATACTGCCTCGCTCTGTACACTTTATCATTATGACCCTCGATGTTGTACATACTAACTCGTTAACACACTAGACAATGAAGCACCAAGCATGTTCTAGTAACTTTGTACAAGACACTGTCCTTTCTGGAGCCTCAACTTCTTCACCTATAAAATCCAGATAGTATTACTTACTTTAAGGTGGTTGTGATGATGAAGAGATTTAAGGTACCTCACTGCTTTTTTTTGTCTACATGGAGAAATAAAAAATAAAATGCAACAATTTAAGAGTGGCTCTAGCCTTTCTAATGAGGAATCTAGCTTCATGAAAGTCATGTCTGTGTTTATCCACAAAATAAAATGGAAATAATATGATTAATCTGCCCTGTGTCAAAGGTCATTGCTGTATAAATGAATGATTGTAAAATATTTCCAAGAAAGAACTATGTAAACAGTCTGCCTTGTGAATTTTTTTTTGCCAGTATACATCATGGTCATTTTTCTAGCAAATTAGTTGAAAGAAAAGAAATACAAACCAGAATGCCCTGAGCTGCTCCTAGTCTCTCTTGGCTCTGATAGGATTCTATGGCTACATGATATATGAAATGAAGGTTTTTCACTTAACCATTCTTATATTTACCACAGTGATATTACATCAATTTTCAGGCCGAAGCATACTACCATCCTTAAATTTGAAATTACTTTTAACATTTACCTTTGTTTTTGCTATAATATTTGCTAAATTGAGAGGGATGTCCAGAGGGAAGGGACTTACAACATGAACCAATAATGTTGTTTTCCTTATGATTTCTAATTTAATTCCATTGTTATTAGAAAAGATACTTTGTATTATTTTAATCTTTTTAAATTTATTGAGGCTTATCTAGTGGCATAACATATAGCCTATCCTGGAGAATACTCCATGTACACTCAAGAAGAAAATTGTATTGTTGTGGGGTGGAAGGATCTATATATGCCTGTTAGATCTAGTTGTTTCACAGTGTTGTTCAAGTCCTGCCTTTCATTATTGATCTTCTGCATACTTGTTCTATCCATTATGGAAAGTGGGGTATTGAAGTCCTAGCTACTATTGTAGAATTGTCTGTTTCTCCCTTCAGTTCTGTCAGTTTTTGCTTCATGTATTTTGCAGATCTGTTGATAGTTATATATATGTTTATAATTATCATTTCCTCTTGAAAGATTTTATTTTCATCACTATATATTGTTCTGGAATTTTTTTCCCTCAAAAGTCGTATGTTGCAGCCCTCCCCTTTAATCTGATGGTATTTAGAGGTGGTTGGTATTTTGGCCCTTGGAAGGTAATTAGATTTAGATAAAGTCATGATCATGGGGTCCTCATGGTGTATTAATGCCATTATAAGAAAAGATCAGAGAGCTGCTGTCTCTCTACTGTGTGAGGAAACAGCAAAAAAGAAGTTGTCCATAAGCCAGGAAGAGTGCTCCCATAAGAACTCAACCAACCATGCTGATACTCTGATCTAAGACTTCCCATACTTTAGAGCTATTGTTTAATCCACCTAGAATATGGTCTTTTGTCATAGTAGCCTGAGTATATTAAGACATATACTGAGCATCTTTTTCTCTTGTAACTTTCTTTTAGTTGAAATCTATTTTGCCCAATACTATCTACCCCAGCCCTTTTTTTTTTTTTTTTTGGTTACTATTTACAGTAGAAAGTCTTTATCTGTCCTCTCACTTTCAACCTACTTGTGTCTTGAATCTAAACTGAGTTTCCTATAGACTCATGGATCATATTTTTATATCCATGCTGCAGATCTCTCCCTTTTAATTGAGAGTTTAATCTGTTTGCATTTAGAGTCATTAATGATAATGTATTAGTTTGCCAGGGCTGCCTTAATAAAGTACCACAGACTAGGTGGTTTAAACAACAGAAATGCATTTTCTCACAGTTCCAGAGGCTCTAAGTCTGAAGTCAAGGTTTTCGGAAAGCTGATGCTTTTTTTTTTTTTTTTTCCTGAATCTTCTCTCCTTGGCTTATAAATGGATGTTTTTCTCCCTAGGTCTTCATGTGCCTTCACCTGGTTCCCTCTATACATCTGTGTCCTAATCTCTTTTTATAAGGACACTAGTCATATTGCAATTGTGCGGTAGTTTGAGCATTCTTTGGGATTCCCTTTCTTTGGGATTGGAATGAAAACTGACCTTTTCTAGTCCTGTGGCCACTGCTGAGTTTTCCAAATTTGCTGATATATTGAGTTCAGCTCTCACTCAACCCCCAATTTTCCCTGTTATTAACATCTTGCTCTATTGAAGTACGATTGTTAAAACTGATGAGCCAGTATTGACACATTATTATTACTAACTAAAGTCCATAGTTTACATAAGAGTTCACTCCTCATGTTGTACATTCCATGGGTTTTGACGATGTATAATGATATGTACCCATCATGTATACCAATATACTTTGGTATGTTAATCTTGTATCCTGCATCCTTTCTATAATTGCATATTAATTCAAGGAGTTTTGTTGATTTTTCAGGTTTTCTACATAGACAATCATGTCATCTATGAAGTAAGATAATTTTTATTCCTTCTTTCTCAATATGTATACCTTTTTTCTTATCTTATTGCATTACCTAGGGCTTCTAGAATAATACTGAAAAGCAGTGGTAAGAAGGAATAGCCTTGCCTTGTTCCTGATCTTAGTAGGAAAGCTTTGAGTTTCATACCATCAAGTATGATATTAACTGTAGGTTTTTTGGTAAGATGTTCTTTATCAACTTGAAGAAGTTCCTCTCTTCCTAGTTTGCCAAGAATTTTCGTTGTAAATGAGTGCTGTATTTTGTCAAATATTTTTTCTGCCTCTGTTGATGTGATTATGTGATTTTTCTTTTTTAATCTGTTGATAGGATGGCTTACATATTAATTGATCTTTGAATGATGAACGAGATTTGCATATGTGAGATAAACCCACTTACTGTAGTGTATATTGTTGTATTTCTTTGCTAATGTTTTGTACAGGTTTTTGCATCTATGTTCATGAGAAATATTGGGTCTGCAGTTTTCTTTTCATATAGTACCTTTGTCTAGTTCTGTAATACTGGCCTCACAGAATGAATTAGGAAATATTCTCTCTGCTTCTGTTTTATGGAAGAGATTGTAGAGTGCCACATCTAGCACAACAGGTGAGAAAGTCCTGAAATGGGGTTGAGCACGTAATGAAAAGATAGACACATATAATTTGGCAAGCAA